TCACAAAATTGTGCATAGAATGACATAAAATTGTGCACCAGGCCACATAGGATGAAAAGTAATTAACATAAATGATGATTTATTTCTGCAGAAATATGATGGTTGTCACTAAAAGTTTCCTTTTTGTTTCAGGTATGCTTTTATGATATTTTTTTGTTATAGTGAATTCACTTGACCCAATTAAAATGGTGCAAAATTACAAGTCCAGTCCTGTAAGCTTTCAGATACAGAAGAATTGCTATATGGCTGCTGATATGAAGCTTGCAGTGGACAAGGTCATTGTCAATGTTCTATGGCATGTCCATGGATATGGTAGTATGTTATTAATGTTATTAAGTAGTAGTATGGTAGTATCGTATATATTACTTCATTCTGGTTCAGGTTCTCCATTTCCACTCTGATATGTATTGTAACCTGTGGAAAATATATTGAGAATCATAATTATGAATTAGTAACATGAATTAACTTGACATTGTAACATTGAGAAATTAACATGAATTATTTCTCAATGTGATAGACCAATCAGTAAAAAAATATTCATTTCAAATTATTATTCACAATTTTTGTATTTCTAATATTTTAACAAACTATTTTCTGAGCAATTAGTTTCTTAAAGCAGTTGAACAAGGAATAAAAACTTTTTACAAAAAATTCAGATTATTTATTTTAAATGTTTATCATAGTACCTGCATACAGAACTTGCTGTTTGAGTTAAAATTGTTGAAGCTCATGCATTGGCATATTTCAGTGGAACCAGTGTTTTGGTTTGGGGTGGTAAGTTACTTTGGCTAAATTTCAGTAAAATCATAATTTGTGCATTAACTTATTGAGTTTATGCCTTTTATGGAAATACAATTGGAAATTTTCTTCTTAACGCAATATTGTTGTAGCTCCAAAGTAATAATATTTTATGGCACCCAAGGAACTTTATTTGTAGCCGGGAAAGTAGATAAACAAGGGCTATTCAGAAAGTAGGTAATGTTTTGTAATTAAACAATAACTAGGTACAGGAAAAAATATTTCATTTAACACATCTGAAAAAGTGAGTAAAATGGGTACTTTTCTACGTTGTCAACAAACTAAGTCCCTTATCGTAGCGGTGGACAAGCTTCAAAATTCCTTCGTCATAGAAATCCGTCTTAGCCACTCAGTGACGCATGCCAGGCGTTCGTCGTCGTCATCAAAACGATGTGTCGCTAGCCAGATCTTCATCTTTGGCAAGAAGTGAAAATCACTCCGTGCTAGGTCGGGACTGTAGGGTGGATGTTGGAAAATCTCTCATTGTCATAAAAATTTGTCTTTTTGTCATTGTCATAAAAATTGGTCAATGCCCGACCTCACACGGCCACTAAAACTGCAGAATTTCTCGACTCATTCAAATGGAAGATTTTCCCACAGCCATCCAACAGTCCCGACCTAGCACCGATTGATTTTCACTTGTTCCTGAAGATGAAGAACTGGCTAGCGACACAGCGTTTTGCTGATGACGACGAACGCGTGGCGTGCGTCACTGAGTGGCTAAGACGGATTTCTATGACAAAGGAATTTTGAAGCTTGTGCATCGCTACGATAAGTGTTTAACTTGTTTTGTGACCATGTAGCATAGTAGCATTTTAATCACTCTTTCAGATGTATATAATAAAATATTTTTCCTGTACCTAGTTTTTGTTTTCTTACAAAACGTTTCCTAGTTCTGAATAGCCTTTGTATTCCATTCCTGTAGGGATGAAGATCATTGTCATCTAGTTTATTTATCTAGATATTCAAAACCTATAAATAAATAGGATCAAGTGTTATTTGTAATTTGTATTGGCAGGCAGAATAAAAAACAAACTCAGTTAAACGAAGTTCAGGGTTGCATTAAAGATAAATTTGAAAATTTCTCCATTGAAAAATGGAAACCCAATAAACTCCATTGAATGCAAGTGAAAGGTATGCATGAGCAAATATGCAAACATTAATTCAATCAATCGATATTGTGAATGAAATTCGAAAGTATATCTGTTTTTAAAAGCTTATTACACGGTTCTAATAGCATCTATCCTAATATGCACTCTCAATTCAATTGCAGTCATCCATGCATTGAATGTCTATCTGTCGATTGACTTTATTGGCAAGAAATCTTCACTGAAAAACCACATGAACGAACAATTATTGGAATTTGAATCGTGCATGGAAACATAGGGAACAACATATCGTAGTGAATTATAACATTTAAATTTATTCAATAGATAAAATATTTAGATCTCATTGTAGGAGTACGATTATGAAAGCAATTTCTCATAATAATATCTCTCGTCATCCATTAAACATGAATGGCCATATCTTATTGCACCGATCCTTAAGATGGTTGTAGGACTTTTTTTTGTAATATTACAGGATTATTTGGACGGTCTGAGAGTGATATTTGCATGTACTGTATTTGTACATGCGAATATCACTGTAGATGCATTCGTATGGCAATATTCAAACTTATTCAAACTCGATGCATACACAATGTACTATGTGTAGTGTGTTGCATGAGTAGTTCGCGCGATATTATTTGTATTTTTTACTCAACTGTTCAGAACATGAAAAGTTTACAGGTTTCTAGCTGGCAGACGTTGGCAAGTTATATAGTTTCTCTGTTCATTGAGTTGAATTGAGTCACTTGAACTGAGGCCTCAACGTTAGCTGCTAATTTTACGAGGGTTGCATGTAGGCGTCTTCTCGCCTCGAGATTCTAGTCGCATCTTTGTGTGACTTACGCTCTTTAAGCGCGTTTATTTGAGCGGCCAGCCACTGTAGCTTTCGTACATGTTATTGAGCCTGCGACGCGTAGTACTGCAGTACATCAGCGTCTCGTGTTGCTGCAGTACATCTGCGTCGCGTGTTGCTGCAGTACATCCGCGTCCCGTGTTGCTGCAGTACATCCGCGTCTCGTGTTGCTGCAGTACATCTGCGTCCCGTGTTGCTGCAGTACATCTGCGTCCCGTGTTGCTGCAGTACATCCGCGTCCCGTGTTGCTGCAGTACATCCGCGTCGCGTCTATGTATCCGTATAGTTATGTGTAGCGTCTATGTATCCGTATAGTTATGTGTAGCGTGTGTGTTTTAGTTCAACTGTCATGTGATCCAAGCGGCCGCGCTCGCCGAATCTTAACGGATGTGGGCACGTGATGTCAGCTGTAAAGCATTAAATTTCATCTTGATCCATGTAGTAGAAACACCATAAAAAGCTAATGTAATTAATAAGATTTACTTTAAATATGAAATGTGTATCCTCATATGTAAAATAAAAAATGCCCAGTCATATTGAGCGTTCATAATCTTCCTGGCGTATAGATGAGTAGACCAAAGTGCCACTCAAGTTCTATTTGTTTAAAAGGTAAACAAAGAAATAACCAATTCTTCAAGTTGTTTTTTATTGTAATCATTCCTTAATTGAGTAAATTAAAGTGCTACAAGTAATGTTCTCACAATAAAGAATATATAGCCGTTAGTTCTTCACACTTTCTCAACGTAAGGACAAAACGAGTGTCACTGTTCCTTGTTGTGTGTTGCGTGCTGGTGCTCGATGATTATCTGTTAAAATAATTGTCATCTGTCGAAACTCGTCACAGCCATGCGGAAGCGTCTAAGTCGTACTGGTGGTAACGCTCTCATTAAACCTGGCGTGTTGTTTAAAGCTTGATGCGTAGTTAGTGATTACGAATCTCTTGGTCATTTTCCCCGTTGGTGCAACGAATTACATCTTTCACTCAAGTTTATCGTCCTCCGTGATAAGGACCAGGAGTGATTTGTGTCATGCCAACCAACTTCGCGTGTCTCCTTCACTTGTTGCTAGTCCGCGATCGCGCGCCTTACAACGAGGAGGTTCGGGCCGGCTCGTGTTGATGACACATTACGCTGCAAGTTACCGTCGGGGTTACATGGACCGTCTTATATTGGAATATGCGCTGCGTTTCACACGTCTCTACCGATGCGTAGATCGGTACAAATTTCTTACTAATATCTACTTGTCAATAACTCTCCTCCCTGTCAAATCAAATTGAAATGATACCTTCCCGGTCGAAGTTGCGTATGATTTTGAAGTCTAACTGACTAGAGACGCAGCATCTATCACAAGAGAGCGCAGTGGAAGAAGTTATGCGCGCCTCTCGAGGAAGATAAACATCGAACGATGTAACACTTGACTGTCATATCTGCGTTTGACTTTCACTTTTCCTCTCTAATATGTTAGGACAATTCTGATTGCTCAACGCATTAAGTTGTTTTTCCATCGACGGTTCTGATACCCACGTACTCTTCCTATAACATTTTAATGGTGGCTTTACTTAACTATAACTTTTTTATTTTACTTTTCCCCCTGTCTTCTCCATAACCGTTATTAAATGTTTTGTTTTATCCGTTCCTATAACTGTTAAGCGAAGGCTTTTATTAACTATAACTTATTTTTATTTTACTTCTCCTGTCTTCTCTATCACCATTATTAAATATTTTGTTTTATCCGTTAACCTATAAAATTACGGCGTCTTTGAAACGTGTTCGTTCCCGAGTATTGCATGTCACTCATTCAATTAGGAAGATTTTGCACTGAATAATATGAAATAACTTCCTTATTCAGTCTTTTATATATTGTGATATATAAAATATAATAACGCTATATAAACGCTTGCAATTGGTTCATTATGCTTTTATACTGGAGATTATGGCTCAAAGATTAGTTTCTCCATAAAAGTGTTAACAGTTTTCTAGGTATTTCATTGCATGCAGATATTGAAATGCATTTGACGTTATGGACAGAAGTTCAAAATAGTCCAACACTCAACGCAATGTTTATTGTTTTGTTCGCATCAATAATGCGAGTTTACTGATTATTTATTTTTCTCAATCAACTTGACGAGAAAAGAAAGATTTTATTCCAAGGGTGCCTCATATTTTCAACATAGGTATGAGCATTATTTAATTTTATTTTTGTATTCAATTTAATCAATACCTTGTGTTCATAATAGAAGTAATTGTACCAGAACTTGGAGCCATCGCCTGCTTTATGTTTAACTATAAGGTTGTTGATGTGCAGCAGTGAGGTTATTGACTTTGAGCGTCAGTTAGCAGGAAGTTTCGTGCAGCAATTGAATAGCGTGCGGCAGACGCAGTGCTGGCATATTATGCCTGTAGGAGATGCATCTTCTCTGCTGAGAGCCTCTGAAGATGGAGATGGAGCAGCGGCTGAGTCGGACCAGCGGCACACAAACGATGCCGGCACTCGCGACAAGATGACGGCCGGTAAGTTGGTTTCTAACGCTTCTAAACGCCAGTAAACGCTTGTATACCCTTGTAAATTCTTGTAAACGCTTGTGAACGCTATTAAACCCTTCTAAACGCTAGTAAACCCTTGTAATCTCTTGTAAATGACAACGATCATTAGAATGTTAATCACGGCGGGGGCGTACAATATTATGAATAACACTGCCCTTCTTAATGGAATGACAACGATCATTAGAATGTCAATCACGACGTTGTGTATGTGACAGGAACTTCTAATGGCACCGTTGGTCCACCAGACGTCGGCGCGACCTCTACGCTAACAAATGGCTTCTCTGTGGCGCCCTTGAATGGAGAGGCTGAGAGCGCTGGTCCAGGTAAGAGTTGCTTAATTTAATTAATAAATGCTAATCATATTCCCTAATTCTCTCATGCTCATCATCCCTAACAAAATTTAGATTCGCCCCAGCTTCTGATACTCCAAATCAGAAGCTGCCACGTCTGTAAATTTTCATTGGGGTAAGGCTGTTGCTGCATACCGTATATGATTTCTTCAACTTCTTGTTTGACTTTACTTCCTTATACGACTGTTGTGTATACAACTATTGCACTATTGATATGTTGCCTTTCCTCCATCTTTGCTTCTGTTGCATTATTCATTTCTCTTCATTTTGCCATGATTCCTCAGCCATCTCTATTAATGTGCAACTCTTCGTTCTCTGCCGTGATTTTCCAAGTTTCATGTGTTGCGTTCTTCCAGCTTCTATCATATACCGCACTTTTATCTTTCTTGTATTCCTTTCACCAGGCTTTAATCACCCGCTGCTTTCCTGCATGCTTCTCTCTCTGTTCTCTTCCTTACTCTTTCTTGCACTGCTCTCTTCCCTCTTTTCCGTCGTGCTGCTCTCCCTCTTTTCCGTCGTGCTGCTCTCCTCCCTCTTTTTCGTTGTGCTGCTCTCCTCCCTCTTTTCCGTCGTGCTGCTCTCCTCCCTCTTTTTCGTGCTGCTCTCCTCCCTCTTTTCCGTCGTGCTGCTCTCCTCCCTCTTTTTCGTGCTGCTCTCCTCCCTCTTTTTCGTCGTGCTGCTCTCCTCCCTCTTTTTCGTCGTGCTGCTCTCCTCCTTTTTCGTGCTGCTCTCCTCCCTCTTTTTCGTGCTGCTCTCCTCCCTCTTTTTCGTGCTGCTCTCCTCCCTCTTTTTCGTGCTGCTCTCCTCCAGCCTCCTCCTGCTGCAGGTGCTGCAGGAGCTACTGCAGCAGGAGGTCTCTTGGACTGCTCTACACCGCGTGAGTGAGCTTACTTTCATGAACGCCTCTCTGATATTTCGTCTCATCTCTTTTAACTCTTCTTTTAACTATGAAATATGTGTACTTTTTTGATAATTTTTATTTGTTTTAATGTTCTGTTCAGCGCTCGCAGTTTTGGCTTGCGTAACTTCCTCCAGCACGCAGCTTATCTTTCATGAACTCCTCTGATATTCCATCTCATCTCTTTTAACTATGAAATATGTGTGCTGTTTTATCATTTTCATTTATTTCAGTGTTCAGTTTTCGATTCTTTAGGCGATTTTGTGTGGGCTTTCTTTGCTATGATTTACTTGTATTATCATACTCTTTCTATGCATCTGAATTCACTAATAAGTTCGTTGTTTTACTTAATAATAAATTTCATGCAGAGTGTTCATGCGATGCGCTCGCCTAGAAACAGATTTGTAATATCATTTTTTAAATCGCTAACAATGAAATCGTCGATAAAAACCAGGAATGCTTCAAAATTTACATCCTTTGGACCTCCTGGTATGTCTTATTGTGTAGTGTCTACTCGCTCTAATCTCCCGCTTACTCCACTCACTTCTACTTGCACTCCAGTACAACAGATTGAACTAATAGTATTTCCTGTTTGCAGAAAATATTTGTATTATTATATTATTTGAAGTATTATTATATTTTGTGAACTAATAGTATTTCTTCTGACACGAATGAAGGACTATTGTAAAAAATTCTCGGTGTTATTCATTGTTGGGAAGAATTGTTTATTCGAGGACACCAAGGCTGTCGTTTGTGAATTGAAGACGACATTGATTGTTGGGAAGAATTGTTTATTCGAGGACACCAATTGAAGTCGACATTGTCCGAGCCTTGAACTGCCTTGTCATTACATTGAATTAGTGGCATTCTTGACATGACTTCCTGCGAGAACAGAATTTTATTGCGAGGCGGCGCTTTGAATAATGACCTTGCTGAACAGGGCCCTTATTCAAATATTTAGTCGCTGCTGCCTAAACTTTCTGCGTTGCATTGATGTTATCACTTGTTTAATAAGCAAGACTAGTATGTAATAACTTGAATGGAGAATTGTCTTCGGTTTCCTTGACCGTCAGTCACTAACTGACTAAATTGGTGGGCAGTAACGTTAGTAACTTGTGCTTGTGTGCAAATTGCATCAAGCTAAGCATGACGCACGATCTCAACGGGATGACAAGCTTTCAGGGTTGAGTCATTGTGAATAACAGCACGAAATTTATTGTACATCTTCATTTCTGGCAGATGCTTTGGTGATTATGTACACAACGTGTTGATATTATTTATATCAGTATTTGGCCGTCTTAGATCTAAGCACCTACTATTAATTGTAAATAATTGATATGCATGTACAGTACGGTATTAGTCAAGAGTATGCTTTGCGCTATGTTTTTACCGTTTCGCGTTTGTTTTATTTTGGTCACAAATGAGGTGTTGAAACAATGACGTGTTACCATTTGTTGATGCTTGGTATGATGAGCAGCGATGCCGTGGTTCGGCATGGACATCGGAGGTACGCTCACCAAGCTCGTGTATTTCGAGCCCACGGACGGCCAGAGCGCTGCAGAGGCAGACCAGGAGCAGGAGACGCTCACCAACATCAGGAAATATCTCAAGAGCAACTGTGCTTATGGCGACACCGGGCGCAGGGACGAGCATCTACAGGTGAAAGGACTTGTTTTTGGATCTTACGTGGACAAGGCACGAAAAGTATAAGAATCGGCGACAGGTCACTTCAGCGCCGACATCACTATGTTATGTTTTGTTAATGCCTTACGTAATAATTGACGTTACGAGTTGCTAGTCACAATATATTTAATATCGCTTTATAAATCTACGAGCAAATACATCGCCAATTGATGTGATTGCATTATTTGACCGAGAAACATGGGCCCATTGTTTTCAACTTTCGATCAATTATTTCGTTGGCTACCTAATGCTAGTCTAGTCTTCCCTGAAGTTTGTAATGCATAATCTCAACTCGTAGAATCCTATGCTATCTCTAGTAATCTGTCGAGCTCAGATACATGCATCTAAGAATATGATTTTTGCTACATTTCTTAAATTAGGCTGATAAGCAATCTGTAGAAATTCATATATCAAATACTTTTATCAAAGCTTTAATTTGACGCCCATTGATAAAAGTAATGTGTATTGCAAGATGGACAACGTGCGAATGGGCAAGCGGTCGGGGACTCTACACTTCATCAGGTTCCCCACATCAGAGATGCCCGCGTTCCTCGAGCTCGCCAAGAGCAAGGGCATGGCCACCCTCGCCTCGACCATCTGTGCTACGGGGGGCGGCGCGTACAAGTTCGAGCAAGACTTCCGCAGGGTCAGTGGTACATCCTCTAGTGCAGTGGTCCCATCAGATATACATCCTCTAGTGCAGTGGTCCCATCAGATATACATCCTCTAGTGCAGTGGTCCCATCAGATATACATCCTCTAGCAAATAAGTCTAGTGGAACAGCATATTAGGCTCGTGGTTAATTGTAACTCTTTATCTTGCTAAAAGTTGATTTAGCTCTTATTTAACGAATTTCTAGATCTTTAGCATCGTCAAAATTGTTATTTATTATTTCAGTCTACAGAAATAATTTTACTATACAAGTTTCTCATGCAAATTAATGTCTTTATTCATCATTATTGAAAGAAAATATTGTAAAAACACCATTACAATTGTATGATTTTTTAGGTGGTCAACCTTCAGCTGCATAAATTCGACGAACTTGACTGCATGATCCACGGCATCGAACACGTCGAGGATCAGAATCCTACAGAGTGCTACTACTTCGCCAACCCCGGCGACCAGAGCGACTACACCACGTGCCCTTACGACTTCTCTGATCCTTACCCCTTCCTGGTGCGTCCATGTCACTCGATATGCTACCCTTCGTATCTCTGCTACCCTTCGTATCTCTGCTACCCTTCGTATCTCTGCTACCTTTCGTATCTCTGCTACCCCATATCTCTGCTACTCTCCGTTGCATATCTCTGCTACTCTCCATAGCATGTCTCTGTTACTCTCCGTAGCATGTCTCTGCTACTCTCCGTAGCATGTCTCTGCTACTCTTCGTAGCATATCTCTGCTACTCTTCGTAGCATATCTCTGCTGCTCTTCGTAGCATATCTCTGCTGCTCTTTGTAGCATATCTCTGCTGCTCTTTGTAGCTTATCATCATTTACTATTGCTTTATCCACCGTTAATTTCAATTTTTTGACTGCTTGTAGTTCAATTTTATTTTTACGAACGTTCAATTATGGGCTCAGGTTTTGTTAGTGATTGCATCTTGTTAAATTTTATCTATATAATAACTATAATATAAATAAAACTCCGCTATAGGCTAAGATTATGTCACTAATGTGATTGCTTGCCGTCCGTCGATATGCACTTGAGTTTCTCAATAATAGATTTATAAGCAGATGCTGCTGCCAGCTGATGTACAATTAGAGGTTTTGATGAAATCAGATTATATCGTATTGCTTGGAGTATTGAGGAGCTCTCTAAATCACTTGTATAGTACTTGTATGTGGATTAATTGCAAATATTTTATTTTGATGGACTCTAGAGCTTATGTGTTTAATAATTAATTGACTTGATTATGTCTTTGAACTACCTAGTGAAAACCTGCCGTCCGTAAAACGTACGAGGTTATGCCAAATGCGGTGAATCATTTCGTAGTCACCTTTTGGCCAAAATAATTTCTTGTATGTTAGTTTGAAGAAGTTATTGCATATGTTCTCGGCGGCGAATCATTTCGTATTCACCTTTTGGTCAAAATAATTTCTTGTATGCTTGTTTAAATAATTTTATTGCATATGTTCTCGGCGGCGAATCTTTTCGTTTTTAATTTTTGGTCAAAGTCATTTTTTGTATGCTAGTTTAAAGAATTTATATCACAACTTCTGGACGCAGGTCGTGAATATCGGGTCAGGAGTGAGCATCCTTGCGGTGGAGGGCCCCGACAACTACCGCCGTGTGACCGGCACTTCCCTGGGGGGTGGAACCTTTTTAGGTGCGTCTTACATTGAACATTTGTGTTGAAGCTTCATCTATTATTAATATAAGGTGGTAATATCAATGGGAAGTTTTGCATAAATGCTCGTGGGAAATTGAATGTAAATAGCGACCGTGGACTGTCAGAGGGGCAAGTGTTTTTTACCACTTTAAAAATTCGATTTAGGATGACAGAATGCGGATGAAAAATCCTTTAAATTTGTATGCGTGATGGTTCCTCGGCTGCTGTTTGATGAGACGGCGCTCGCCTTACATAAAGAACGCAACTCGTTCTTACTCAGGTTTTAGGTGTAAGGTGTTGTGGTATTGTCGGCGGTCTTCAAAATCCGGGCATTTCGGTGCAAATTGGTGGTTGTTGTGGTTCACCGGTGTTTCCTACCTCAAAAATACCGCGATTCGCATGACGGAATCACTCTAGTTTGGGGAGAATTGAGTTCCTCGGTGAGATGTCACCCTGTCTGAGGGCTGCCAAGTCTGCTGAGGTCGGCAATATATTTATTAATTCCATTTTATGGATTTTTGTTTATGTTAGTTTTGAATGTCTTTTTCTTCGTCTCAGCTCTATGTTATTCAATCTAGGTTCTTAAATTTAGTTTAATTACAATGTAGGCAGGCAGTGTACTTCCGTGTTGCATCGTCAGCCATTAAAGATTTCGTCACACTTTTTCATACCTTCCTCTGAAATTTTTGATTGTTTTGTGAATTATTACGTGAGGAATAATTTTCTTTGACGTTATTTTGAGCAGGTCTGTGCTGCTTGCTGACGGGATGCGAGAGCTTCGAAGAGGCTATAGCCCTGGCTGCTCACGGCAACAGCCACAACGTGGACAAGCTCGTCAAGGACATCTACGGCGGCGACTACACGCGCTTCGGCCTAAGCGGTGACATCGTCGCCAGCAGGTCTGCTTCACTGCAGTGGTTATATTTTCAGGGGCCATACTTTCAAAACTCGCTAAGTGAACGTAAGGACTTACGGTCTATTTTCTTGTCTATGATTGGTGAATTTGGCTTAAAAGGCCGTCAATGATTGGCTGATAGACTTACGATCTCTTAACTTTTTTTGAAAGTATAGGCCCAGAAGAGGATGGTAATGTTCTCACTTTAGGTTTATTTCACTCTTTGTTATCGAGCTACATGAAAATTTAGTCCGGCGTTGCAATAGCAGCTCGCACAAGTCGAACTGCAGTGTGAGAAGGGGTTTTGAAATGTTGAACTACGCTCTCTACAAGCGTTCTTCAGAATATTTGCCGTCGCGAATCGCTTTACGTTTACAACCCCTGGCAAAAATTATGGAATCGCCGGCCTCGGAGGATGTTCATTCAGTTGTTTAACTTAGTAGAAAAAAGCAGATCACAGACATGAAACAAAACTAAAGTAATTTCAAATGGCAATTTTCTGGCTTTAAGAAACGCTATAAGAAATCAAGAAAAAAAATTGTGCAGTCAGTAACGGTTATTTTTTTTAGACCAAGCAGAGGGAAAAAATATGGAATCACTCAATTCTGAGGAAAAAATTATGGAATCATGAAAAACAAAAAAACGCTCCAACACATCACTAGTATTTTGTTGCACCACCTCAGGCTTTTATAACAGCTTGCAGCCTCTGAAGCATGGACTTAATGAGTGGCAAACAGTACTCTTCATCAATCTGCCTCCAACATTCTCTGATTGCTGTTGCCAGATCAGCTTTGCAGGTTGGAGCCTTGTCATGGACCATTTTCTTCAACTTCCACCAAAGATTTTCAATTGGATTAAGATCCGGACTATTTGCAGGCCATGACATTTACCTTTTGTGTCTTTTTTCAAGGAATGTTTTCACAGTTTTTGCTCTATGGCAAGATGCATTATCATCTTGAAAAATGATTTCATCATCCCCAAACATCTTTTCAATTGATGGGATAAGAAAAGTGTCCAAAATATCAACGTAAACTTGTGCATTTATTGAAGATGTAATGACAGCATCTCCTCAGTGCCTTTACCTGACATGCAGCCCCATATCATCAATGACTGTGGAAATTTGCATCTTCTCTTAAGGCAGTCATCTTTGTAAACCTAATTGGAACAGCACCAAACAAAATTTCCAGCATCATCACTTTGCCCAATGCAGATTCGAGATTCCTCACTGAATATGACTTTCATCCAGTCATCCACAGTCCACGATTGCTTTTCCTTGGCCCATTGTAACCTTGTTTTTTCTCTTTTGGTGTTAATGATGGCTTTCGTTTAGCTTTCTGTATGTAAATCCCATTTCCTTTAGGCGGTTTCTTACAGTTCGGTCACAGACGTTAACTCCAGTTTCCTCCCATTCGTTCCTCATTTGTTTTGTTGTGCATTTTCGGTTATTGAGACATATTGCTTTAAGTTTTCTGTCTTGACGCTCTGATGTCTTCCTTGGTTTACCAGTATGTTTGCCTTTAACAACCTTCCCATGTTGTTTGTATTTGGTCCAGATTTTAGACACAGCTGACTGTGAACAACCAACATCTTTTGCAACATTGCGTGATGATTTTCCCTCTTTTAAGAGTTTGATAATCCTCTGCTTTGTTTCAATTGACATCTCTCGTTTTGGAGCCGTGATTCATGTCAGTCCACTTGGTGCAGCAGCTCTCCAAGTTATGATCACTCCTTTGTAGATGCTGACTAACGAGCAGATCTAATTTGATGCAGGTGTTAGTTTTGGGGATGAAAATTTACAGGGTGATTCCATAATTTTTTCCTCAGAATTGAGTGATTCCATATTTTTTTCCCTCTGCTTGGTCTAAAAAAATATCCGTTACTGACTGCACAATTTTTTTTCTTGATTTCTTATAGTGTTTCTTAAAGCCAGAAAGTTGCCATTTGAAATTACTTTAGTTTTGTGGCATGTCTGTGATCTGCTTTTTTTCTACTAAGTTAAACAACTGAATGAAGATCCTCCGAGGCCGGCGATTCTATAATTTTTGCCAGGGGTTGTAGAAAACTTAAGCAATTTTATCTTTATATTATGATGATTGCCTGCTTGTTGTTCAATTTTATTTTTACGAATATATTTTATTATTCCGCCCATTTAAATTAGAAACAGAGACGATGATGTTAACTATTGACCGTATAGTCTAAACTGTTGACCACTGACAATGGGCTCTAGGAATATTAGCAGGATAAAGGAATGCTATGTCAAATCTTGCCATATTTTGATCTGCATGTAGGATGAACTTTTAATAAGGCTAGGTCTACTTTAGTGTGGAAACATGTTAAGGAATGTACATTTTGCATGCATCGTAACGGCCATCATTTCAGTTTCGGCCACATGAACGTGAGTGAGAAGCGAGGAAAGGTGTCGAGGTCAGATTTAGCGCACGCCACGCTCGTCACCATCACGAACAACATTGGCTCCATTGCCATGATGGTCGCCAATAGCCACAATATCGGCAAAGTGAGTCTTAAATCATTATTTATTTCGTTTGCATTTCGAGTCGTAAACATGTTATAGTTATATGATGTAATCATTATTTCGTTTGCATTTCGAGTCGTAAACATGTTATATGATGTGTTGTACAATTTTTAAAGCCTCGCGTTCCTTGCACTGAGTGTAATATTTGATTTCAAAGAAGCATCAATCACATGAAAATGAGTAAATTAGGTTGAAAGGTTATTAGTTTTTCTCATCATGGTATTACCATCAGTGTAGTAATAGAGATGAAACAAGATTAATATTGTTCCAGGTATTATTTGTGGGCAACTTCCTGCGTGTCAATCAGATCTCAATGCAACTACTTGCGTACGCCATGAACTTCTGGTCCGATGGGAAACTGAAAGCAATCTTCCTGCAACACGAGGTGTGTTGCTCAGTGCTGCAGCAAGATATTCCTTCTTTTTACGACACAAATCGATACGTTCTAAACTAGTTTAAGCCGAATTATTGTTGGACAGTGTTGTCTATATTGGCAATCCTCTTCATGCTACGGTAATTTGTTCTTAGATTACTGAAAGAATGTTTCAAAATTGTTGTGTTTTTCAATATTGATGATTTTCGTTATTGTGTTCTCATCTCCCTGCGTTCTCAGGGCTATTTTGGTGCCGTTGGCTGTCTGCTTGAGCTGCTGAGGTCAGGTGACGGAGCTGAAGACAAGAAGTCCACCGAGAGTAAGAAATCAAGCGAGGAAAAGACAGATGCGGAAAGATGTCCGCCCGCTCCAGATGCCAAGAGCAAACCTGTCATCGACCGCGGCAGCTCAGCGTCTTCCGAGTGCTCTTCGTGCGGTAGAAGCACGGAGCGTTAAGCAGGGAGTCTATACAAATGTATTATACTTTGGTGATAAGGAACGACAACATCATACATTGTTCGGTGGTAAGAAACGACAACCTCATACATTGTTCGGTGGTAAGAAACGACAACCTCATACATTGTTCACTGCTGTATGCATCACTGTATTGTCATTCAATGGGGAATATTTTGGAATCATTTTTTTTTTACTTTTCGGGTTTTATTTTATGCCACGTAGCCGTGACTTCAACAATGAACAGCTCCGAATTTTCCTTCAGTAGTATTCTAAGATCTAAATACAGGTCTAATATTTTTCTACCAGTTATGGCATCAGCCAAACTATGTATACAGAAGTGTTACCAATATTCTTCGGATGCCAATATACTTGTACTTAAATTTGGGCTGTTAATTTTTGACTCGTTACTTCAAGAAGTGCACTTTTGCCATCATGAATCAGTTAAAAAATCTAAGGAGCATTTGTGTGAAGCATGAGAACTATTTGAAGAATCTTTGTGAAATTATAATACGTGAACCAATATTAGTGAGATTCAATTATGTGAAAACATTTTTGTAAAATTCGACTATGTGAACCAATTTTTTGTAGGATTTAACTGTGTGAACCCATGTTTGCGAAATTCGGCTATGGGAATCAATATTTCGAATGGCGTTTCCTCGCCATTTTTCCGTTGTTATTCAGCGTTACGTTATGATGGCGATAGATATTGCTCTTGTTGTGGATTTGACATTGCTTTTTAGCATCTGTGCACATATTTATTAGAACCTTGAGAAGGTATTATTGGCGTTATGTTTAATCCTGAATTATAAGGTTGCTGTGATGCCAGAAAAAGATGAATCGATCACCACATATATCTTCTGAGTACATTTCTTCTATGTTGCTGAAAAACATTTATCAACATTCGTTTATAAATGAATTTATAAACTTCCGAGTTTATAAAATGAATTTATAAACTAAAGGCTTGATCCATGCCTTGAGCGTGGGTGCAACCTGAAAAATGTATCGTCGATAAAAAAACTTTTTTCTAATGTAGAAAAATCTTACTCAGCGGTTGAACAACACGTTTACGCTTTTCTTTTGAGTTATGTTGAATGTCTCAATAAGATTGCAGGTTGTCTGACATAAATTCTTGTAGAATTTTGGATGAACTGAGGGCTTCTTGCACCAAAAATAGTATTAAGAATACAGTGTGTGTCTGGGCACTGGAAGAGGGTTCATATAGATGCATTTATAACCTTAAATAGATATTTAGTCGTTTATGACGTCTTGAATGCTTTATTTTACTACTGCCGTTTGATCAGTTATTTTTTACAGTTTGTGCGATCATCCTTTTTTCTCCACTTCACCCTAATTCAAATTTATAAGCTCAGCTTTCAACAGAGAGCTTATTTTCATCGTGATGGTATATAGGAAAATTGTATTGTAAATTAATGTTGCTAAAAAATTTGTGGCCCAATTATAAACTGAATTAAAAATATTTAAAGCGAAATCTTTAATTAGGACGAAAATTAGTTGCTAATTGAAATTTCACTTTTATACCATCGTCGTCCTGTGTAGTGTCATAAGTGTTCGTATGAAATCCGCACTTGTTTTATTTAAGGGATATACACATTTACGTTGACGATAATCAGTAGCTAGTTGTTGATTTATGGTATTCTTAGGCGTTGATTAGTGTTACTATTGGATTATCTTATAAAGAGTAAACGAGAGTGTGGGATGCATGGTTGTGTTAAGAGGCTTGTGTCATGGCGTCACTCAGCTTGGACATGAATGGGTTGGTCTTGCAATAGAGGGAACTACTGAAGCCAGACTACAGCGGATTCACTTCACTAAGTGAATTTGATTTAGTGCCACCAAGGTGTTGATGATAAAATTGTTAAAATTACATGAATACTCTGCAGCAAAATATATATAGTTTAAAATTGTTTGTAATGAACTGATTTCGCTGCATGATTTCAAGTAAGTTGTGAAGTGAAACTTCTGCAACAAAACCGTTAGGTGTATGGGACAAGTTGTAAAATTATGAAAACAATGCGGAACTGCATGCATGATTGACACAGTCCCGGCGAACTCTTGAACAAGGTATTAGATTTTAGTCTGCTATGATTAAAAATAATGTATAATAGGCGACATGTTGAACAGTCTTCGCTTTCATTACAGCAGTGATGTGTTGTCATGTGGTTAAGTATATATGAGGCTCTCTTAGTTACACATCATTTGACGATTCACGTTGAGTGTTAAATGTAGGCTTTAGCCGTACAACACAGTTGGAATCGTAAAGTATTTTTTTTTGTGAAGCCAATCGTTATAGTTCTTGAAATTATCTACAGTGAATTGCTTCCACGACTGACTGGCAGAGGTTCCATTGACACTAAAGTTTATATTTTATTAAAGTAAAACTGAACACGATGTTGGAATTTTATTGAATCCTTGTGGTAAGCTATATTAATAATGAAATTCTAATGCATTAGAATTTTCCCGTAAGCGCTCGTTCCATGAGCTCGTGAGGGGACCTTTGAGAGAACACGTCCAGGGCGAGGGTGTCTGAGAAGTCGATCTCGACGTCGCGTGCTGTGAGAGCGTCGTGCATGGCGTTCGAGCGCGGCAGCACGCCGTTCAAGTGACCAATGCCCGCGAAGCCGGCCTGTGCAGTTCAAATTTTGAAACTTTCGAATACATAAAAGATCATAGTAGTACCAAATCTTCACATTGGGTCAAATGCAATGAAGCTGATACAAGTACATTTTCACATATTCTAACCAAACAAATTGATGGATATTTGCACAAAAAAAACAGATGTTTGAACAAAAATAACTTGGTATCATACATGGCAATTATTATGCACTATAGGGGTAAACTACATTAGGATTTATCCAATTAAAAAAAACTTGTATAAAATAACTTACTGCAGCTCTCTCATGTCGTCGATGCATTGCAAATCCAAGACCAAAAGTACGAGTTGCCATTTGGAGCTCGAGTTTTTCTTGTCTCTCCTGATAAGTGCGTTCAGAAGATTCAACAGGATGCATTTTTCTAGTTGTCATAGGAGCTCTCAGCATCAAACTGTCAGCCCCTACGCTCGGACCATTGGTTGAGCCATAGTCAAACTCTTGGCTAGAAACAGCCAGGGCAGAATTTTGGGAGCAGAGTGCCTGTACAGAACACTCACATTTAGTAATTCAATAGTGCAAACTTCTTTGCTGAAATGAAATACTGGCAAAAATAATTAGGAAATAAACTATCATAAATTTAATCGTAAAATTAAAAAAAATACTCTTAAGAAAGTTCAGCATTAGTATTTTACTAAAAACATCCACTTTCATTTCTGCGATATGAGGCTATTCTGAATTTCTTAGTCACATTAAATAGATATGGGATCTAAATAAGAAGTTGTGCACCAGTAAAAATGTGGCTGAGAGTTTTTACTACAAATAAGAAAAAATATTGTACAAATGCACATGGCCATACAAAAAGCAAGTCTTTCTTCTTCTTTTAGTAGGTATCAATCAATGGTGTTGGTACTGTAATTTAGAGAGGAAAATAACTGCTAGATTCATAAATTATAAAAGTTTGGGTCAATGAAAATGCCTACAAGTTAACTAGGAATTTAAAAGCAAAGAAAATACCACAAAAATTCACCATATCTTTATAAGAGAAAACATTTTGGAGTCCAGCTCCATCGTCAGTTCATAACACAAAATTCTGTTCAGAAAAAATTCAGTCCGAGAAACACAAATAAATCAATTAGTAAAGTAAAATGCACTGTCGGGTTTCTAAATGGAAAATAAATAAATAAGACATGAAAATAATGCTAGTAAATAGCCTATCTATTTACTATTTCAAGAGGAAAGGAGCTAAAAGCAGCATTCAGACTAGGCTTCTGTTTGAATATATACAGGGATTCCAAAATTCGTCGATCACTAACACCAGATGCAGAAGCTAGAATTTTGAAATCACTATCAGTGTTGCACTGCTTGGCATGAACACATATAGCAGAATAAGGTGGATGTGAAAGTAGGTTCCCCGTTCTATAACTCCTGCCCTTATGCTCAGCCAGCCTAGTATAGAAATTACATGCCATCATACCAACGTTTGCCTATGCGCACTGCACACAACTATATCTGTAAATTAGTGATGATCGCATAAGAACAGGTAGGGTATCCTTATACCTGAAAAACGAGCTGATTCTAAAATTGTTAACCAGCAACACATGAAGATGAAGATTTACATCCGGAAGATATTTAGCAAATAAAACTTTTAATTCCTTTGACATAGTCTCAGATGTGGGTCCAAAGTAGGGAAAAGAACAGTAAACAACTTTGCTATTGTCACACTTGGGAACGACTGCAGTATATTGCTTGGACATAAACTTTTTAGTTTGGGTGAACACCAGGTGTGATGGAAAGCCATTTTGTGAAAAGATATTGCGCAACAATTCAAATTCCAAGTGCATGGCTAGGAAAGTAGAACAAATGCAAAAGCCGTGGTTTATCAATGTTTGGACCCCATTTAACTTCAAACGAAAGGAGCAAAAGCTAAAAATGCTGGTGCTTAAGCCGGTAAATGTTGATTTTCTAAAAACAGAAGTTTGGAAACGGCCATTAGATTTGGTAATTTTGCAATCAAGGAAAGACAAGCTATTGTCTGATTCCAGCTACATGGTGAATTTGATAGAGTTATGTTGGAGATTAAGATAGTCAAAGAAAAGGCCCACATGAGAGGGGTGCTTAAAAATCAAAAAAGTTGTAGTAAAGTTGTGTTTTACTTTGTAAAAAGTGAAAATCATCAACATATCAGTTATAAAAAATTGGCTTAAAATCAAGAGGGCAATTGGCCAACCATGTAGCCTCATGAAAACACATGAATATATTGGCAAAGGTAGGGCCAAGTGGAAGTCCTATGCCCAAACTGTCGATTTGTCTGGAAAACTTGCCAGCAAATACAAAAATTGAGCTTAGCACAGATAATTCAAGGAGAGATTTGAAAAAATTGTGTTTAAAACCCATGACAAGGTCATTGACATCTTTAAACAATGAATTGAGACAAATATCAATGGTTTCAGAAAGAGGTATATTAGTAAATATAAATAGATAAAGATATATTAAATTAAATTTAATATATTATATATTAAAGTATATTAGTAAATAGTTCTTCATGTTCTGCATTTAATGTTGCCAAAGATTTTTGAATAAATTGAACATCAAAAATGCAATAATTTCAAACCAAATGTTTCAGCAAGATCTTCTGAAGGCATAACTTTTGCCACTGAGCACTGAGGCATCACCAGACACCAATGATCTTCAGACATTCAGTAACTTTCTGCACCCTGGCAAGTTAATTTGAAATAGGTATTGGGCAAAGTTTCCCAACATTGCAGATGAAATGGGATATTTTTTTGTATTTTGTAATGAAAATAATGGAGATAGGCCATAGATGATAGAAATGTATAAAATTACCCAGATTCATGGGCATTTTGTCTAATTCATGGGTGGATTCTTCCTAACATCCCACTTTGGGTAGCTTTGGTCAAATAGGCCCACTTAGTTTTAGGCTTTTGTTGAAGCAGAATAGAATTCTAAAATTTACAGTTCATATATTATTCTCGATACACCTAGACCAGTTTTTCGATACAACATAATTTGAGTCAAAAAATAAACTTCTTATAGGCTTAAACACGTATAGGTAAAGGTATGCAAAGTTTCTATAAAGTAATCACTTGAAAATGTTGCATGTCTGCAGCTTTCACTCAACAATTAAAATTATAAAAAGTACTAGTTTGTTAAAGATTTGTCTCTTAATATGACAGCAAAGAACTAAACTTCATAACGTAATTAGCTACATGATGCACACACTAAACATGCAATTCATGGGAGCGAGACAACATAGAACAACGAAGGCAGGCCCCCGGCATGCAAATGACAGAAACGAATGACGATCGTGGCAGCGGCAGCACGATGCATAACGTTCATATGCTCAATGCAAGAGAATGATTGATTATGATATTTCTGATAGAGGTTTGAAATATTTTTGGAAGCCTAAAACGTGAACAAATTATTTCATTACTCTGACATGGTTGATTTCAAAATAAATATTTTAATGCAAATTCATGAAAAGCATTTAAAATATATTGAATGAGGTTCATTTATATCTATAGGTGGGAGTAAACAATTACGAATTGATTTATTATCCTTTAAATAAGAATCTTTGCATTGAAACATCTATATGATGTGTCTACCACAATATTTGTACAGTGGTATCAAGAGTCATAGCCGTCAACCGATCATTGGATGGCCTCAAATATGTAGCATCGTTCTACCTATTAGGCTATTATGGTCAGTAGAGCCTAAATAAACTCCATTTATCGAATGGACATAAAGCTTATATCAAGCTTTCCTGGTAGTAGTAATGGAGTCCAATTAATCATTCGTATACTCAGTGCAAGAGAATGAATAATTATGTTGTTTCTGATCAAACGAACGAAAACTTTTTCTGTTTCTGATCAAACGGACAAAAATTTCTGATCAAACAAACAAAACCTTTTGATCAAACGAACGAAAACTTCTGATCAAACGAACGAAAACTTCTGATCTAACGAACAAAAACTTCTGATCAAATGAACGAAAACAAACTTTTTGAAGATAATTCTGAAATCGTAACGTCTATTGAATTCTAATACCGATCGTTAATTTTAGCATCGTATTTCCAAAAATCAAGTATTGCATTTCTTTTAATTGAAAAACATTTTTTTACATCAAAAACAGTGCTTTTTTTTCTTGCAGCTCCTCACGAATGACAAATGACGATCTCACGTGTATTCAAGAAAAGTTTCTGAAATAGTAGGAACATTTTCATTATCATTCTGAAATAGAAGCATCATTTCTGTTCTTATACCTATACAAACAGGATCAATAAAATACCTATCAAATCCATCCAATGTCATTCAATTTGTGATTTATGAATGACAGTTTTACTTTCATTCCTATGATGCTCATTTTTACCAGTTGAAGCTGTAGAATTAAATTTAAAAATTAATTAAAATTAAATTTTACTAAATCAAATTTTATTATTTAATACACTAGATGGTGCATGCTGTAGAATTAAATTCTATTAGAAAAATGTTGAATTAAAAATCTGATTATATTTTTTAAATTAAAAATTAATTTTTATTGAATTAAATTGTATTATTAATGCACTATGGTACATGCTCTATGTTTTATATAATGAAATAGTTTCCCATTTTAAATAACGTACAATTTCTAAAAGACACAAAACGTTCGAAAACTCGGGATGGCAGACAAAATCATTCGGAATTAAAAGTGAATTTAATAAGATAAATTCAACATAATAGGGCAAAAAATTAAAAAAATTCAAATCTGGAACGCATAAATGGGTTTTTATAATTTAAAAAAGTTTCAATCATTTAAATCTCAGAATGGAATGTGAATCAAATCTATTTATTGTGAAATCATACTAGACGCAACCAAAACAAAAGCACGTGTGACACCATCTTCTCATACGTAAACATAGAATGCTCGATGTGAATGTATGCAGTGAAAAAACGGCAGTTTATCTCATAATTTTGTGTGATATCAAATACTTTTTTGGTATTGTCCAATCATGAGAATTTTTTGCAAGTGTGGATGTGTTTTTTAACACGTTTTTCTTAGCTTAGCTTCACGTTTGTTTGTTTGTTGTTAACATTGACAACAAAAGTTAGCCCACTTCTGATTGCTTTAGAGATCTGAAATTCAGCATGCAGGCTATTTTCACCTAACAATTTCAGATACAATCATAAAAACTAGCAATTAGAGACCTAAATTAGCTTAATTGAGTAAAGTATATATAAATATTATATATATAGTGTGACGTGCGGGCGCTGACGTTATAGACCAGCAGGCGCTTATGCTGCGTATCATCGATACATACGTCAGGGCAAGTAAATTGGCTCGCAACAACGTTTTTCATGTGTGGCAACGGACTAAAAAGGAGAAAATAAAATACTTAAAAAAACTTTTTTAAAAAACACGTTTTTCTTGTGGACTAAAAAGTAGAAAATAAATTGTGGCTCGCCCCAAAAAACGTGGGTCGGGCACCATCAAATTTCCAAAATTCGTGTGTTGTGTGCTTTTTGCTTTAATCATAAATCTGCCCGACACACGTTTTTTGGAGCGAGCCACAATTTTTTTTTCTACTTTTTAGTCCACAAGAAAAACGTGGTTTTTTAAAAAGTTTTTTTAAGTATTTTATTTTTATTTTAGAACGTATTCATTGCAAAAACTTGTCCGCTAGCCTACAGATAAATGACTAGTTAAGTTGTTGAGGCGTTGCCAACACGGGATTGGATGTCAAACCACGCGCGATTTCAGAAGTGTAGCAGTTTCTAATGCAATCAGTTTATCAATTTTCACTGCAGTGGAAGGTGGTGTAACATGGTATGGTAGGTATGTGCACAAAAAATTTTTTCCTTTGATCGTAATGAAAATTACACCACTGAAAAGAGAAAAAAATTTAGAAAAATATCATATAAGTATGAGTGAAGTAGGTCAAAAAATGAAAAAGATATGAATTTTTCCTTTTTTCAATTTCACCCCAAAAATGGACCAACTTCTGTCACTTTTTTTTGGAAAAACTATCATTTGTAGGTTTCCTATGAGCCAGTTTCAAAGTTTTTAGTACCATTGGAAAGCTCATGTTGTAGGCTATCTATTCTAACTAGAATAAAACATTTTGGTTGAGACTTTGACTGCAGGTGGCCAGGTGGGTGGGGGAAATGGGTGCAACTGCTAGATATGAATGCTATAACTTTACTTAAAGGCAGAATTGGAAGGAATAAATTTCAGTTTCATGGTCTTGGCACCATAATTGAGCTTAAAAATATGAAATTAAATAGAATACACAAATAAAATTTACTAGTAATAATAATAAGTTTTATTAATATTAAATTTAATTCTTAACTAATTATAATAAATATTAGTGAATATTGATATTAATAATAATATTAACTACTGATCATCATCATGTCACATCTCATCTTGTGCCTTGTCTCATCTTGTCTCATGCCTCGTCACATCTCGTCTTGTGCCTTGTCTCATCTCGTCTCGTGCCTCATCTCATCTCGTCTTGTGCCTCATCTCATCTCGTCTTGTGCCTCGTCTCATCTTGTCTCATGCCTCATCTCATCTCATCTCGTGCCTTGTCTCATCTTGTCTCATGCCTCATCTCGTCTCGTGCGAGTCGTGCCTTGTCTCATCTCGTCTCATGCCTTATCTCATCTCGTCTCGTGCCTCATCTCATCTTGTCTCATGCCTCATCTCATCTCGTCTCGTGCCTTGTCTCATCTTGTCTCGTCTCATCTCGTGCCTCATCTCATCTCGTCTCATCTCATCTCGTCTCATGCCTCGTCTCATCTCATCTCATGCCTCGTCTCATCTCATCTCGTGCCTTGTCTCATCTCGTCTCGTGCCTTGTCTCATCTCGTCTTGTGTCTCATTTCGTGCCTCGTCTCATCTTGTCTCGTGCCTCGTCACATCTCGTCTCGTGTCTCGTCTCATCTCGTCTTGTGCATTGTCTCATCTCATCTCGTCTTGTGCCTCATCTCATGCCTTGTCTTGTGTCTCATTTCCTCATCTCATGTCCAATCTCACGTCTCGTCTCATGCTTGTCTCCTCATCTCATGCCTTGTCTCATGTCTTGTCTCACGTCTCATCTCACATCTCGTATCATGTCCAATCTCATATGTCTTGGCTCGTGTCTCATCTCCTCGTCTCATGTCTTGTCTCGCGTCTCATCTCACATCTCGTCTCATATCTTGTCTCATGTACTCTCTCATGTCTTGTCTCATGTCTCATCTCATAGAATAGAATAGAAGTGTCGGCGTTGAAGACATAGGCCCATGGCCTGTTGCCAATTCTTGAACTTTTCGTGACTTGATTCACAAGGGATCCGGCCTTTGGAACCCGATCTTTCCATAACTGACGATTGATTGAGATCATAGTGACAAAGCAGAGAGTTTTTTAGACTCTCCCTCAAGTTCATTTTTGAGTCCTATAAGTAGACCAGTAAAGTATCATGGATACCAGCATTATCATACTTAAGAAGGAATTTAAAAGCAAAGAAAACGCCAAGAAAATTCACCATATCGATATTGAAAACGTTTCGGAGTCCAGCTCCATCATCAGTTCGACTAAACTATGTTGTTCATAACTAGTCCTGTTTATTTCGATATAATGTTAGGTCTTGTTTAGGTTTTATGTCTGTCTTTGGATTTTGACTTTTAAAGAGATTTTATTCATTTGTAGTTTAGTCGAACTGATGATGGAGCTGGACTTTGAAACGTTTTCAATATCGATATGGTGAATTTTCTTGGCGTTTTCTTTGCTTTTAAATTCCTTGTGAACTTGCGATATAAGCAGACTAATGATATAAGTACTTACATACTTAAGAAATTGGTTTAAATCTTGAGTTTAGGGAAAATTAAAAATGAACTGATTCCAAAAAAAGCTCTGGTTTGCCACTTTGATTGAGATAGCTGCTGGACTTATTGCCTGCTCCGTAATTTGCTAGGTATTTTAAGACTGAACATATACTCCTGCATAGCTTCGTCTAGTCTGTTTTTGAAGATATTCATACTCGAGCTCATGTCTCAGTCTCGGCAGTACTTCAGGACCAGCATACCTCACTGACTCACGACTGAACTGAACGTAAACAGCCCGACAGGACATGGTAGAAAAACTGTCCGAATGGCTGCAAAGCTCTGAAATTTTGAGAGCATGCTCTAAAAACTATCATCTTGATTTCAAATTATCTTTCATTAATTTCAAAATACGATATCCATGTTTACTTCTCGCCCAAATGTTACCTCTTGCACATCCCAGCTAAGCAGGTACTTGATAGACATTTCTTGAAAAAAAATGATGTCATAGTTCAAGTTTTTTTAGTTCGTTTCCAAACAAAAGTCAATCAGATTAAGCTAACATTTTGGCCGGACTTTCAAAATAAAATACCTTACATGCGCCAATGCGGAAAGTGACTGTCCGCCATTTTGCCAGCATTGTTTACGTTCGAGCGTACTTTGTGCACATACCTAGGTAGGGTAGGTTTTTCAATACAGTTTCTCATGTTAACATGAGAATATAAGTTGAAGATTTTAAAAAGTCACCTGTAAATTAGGTTTTTACTTTCTATTTTGGAAAAATTATGCCAATATTCTGGATAAGGAAAGTTCTAGTCATAGCCTATATCAGGAAGTTCAAAGTGGATATTTTTTAGGCCAACTTAGTCACCCACATTACGCATACACAATGCTGAATCAGTGAATGCACACCCATTTTCAGCAAAGTGAAATTACTAAACTATAACATATATTAATTTAGTTGCTAGTCTCTCAGGTACTGAGGTACATGGCAGTCATTGAAAAAAATGAAGTAATACTTACCATAGTAGCAGTTGGACCTACACTGATTTCCACAGGCCACAGCAGAAGAGCACGGTTGGGTATTATTTATCTTTCAGGTAACAGTTCACCAGTGACTGTCTTCTTCTTCTTGTTTGATGATTACTGGAGCTTTGGAGACCACCAGTGACTGGCAACAAAACACTCTGATTAAAGTCGGAGAAACTTTATCTCCTGACTTGCGGATTTCGGATTCTCATAATCTCGAACTTTGATTTCACTTGCAAATAAGTATATCTCAATTGTGATATTTGAAAAATTATATGAATGCTTATATATTTAACTTTTTTGCTTATAAATATGGGATCGGCGATAAAATTAAGAACTTATAACACGATATAAAAAACAAAAATTGCACATATTGATATAAAACAGTCACATGCAAAAAGTAGTCTGAACACGAAGGCACAGAGCGTTCAATTGTGGCTTTGCTAATTTCGATACCGAATGTCACAAAGTAACTGAATGCAAATAAAGTCACTAGCCTATCTATCAATTTTTTTCATTTGCTCTCTACATTTCTTCAGCACTCCAGATATAATCAACATTAAACCTCATTTTCTTCCCATTCTTCAGTAAATTTCAGAAAATACATAAAATAGTGTCAAGAAATTAGCTCGGGTAAATGTCGATTCGGTGACACTCTAAAAGTAACACACATGGCTTCAATTATTTTGATTGGACCGGAAGATTGGAAACCCTGTGAGGCTGTGAAGCCACAATAATCAAAGCAAATGAAGTGGCTCCCAACTGATAATGCAACTACAAGCCTGAAATAAATTGTCATGTCCAGGTCTGAAAACCGACCTGTGTGAGGTCATTTACTACACCTCAAAGAAGATATCATCAACAATTATTCAGTATGCTCAGATTTCCCATATATTTAATTATTTACGGATCATATATTTACAGATTTATATCAATAGTTTATATAATATAGTTTTAAGATATTATATATCTCAAGATATTAAATATATGAAATTATATATTTATACTTTTCATTGCCCATTTCTACCGGAAAATGCGCATGCGTTGAGTTCCCGTCGTCTAGCCAATGAAATGAATTTCTCTCAGCGCATGCGCTGCCCAATTGACCAATCACCAGAATGTATCTCGCTGAGAGATTGTTGATGCCTGATGGTGTGTTAAATGAACTAAAATACAGTGCCGACTGCCGACGCATCACGCATGAAGCTTTGCCATGTTGGGTATGATTCATTATAGTTTTGCTATCGCTAAAGATGTATTTTATTGTGCAGAATTAGTAGCATATGATAGAAGCCAAAATATTGCCTGTTGGACGTGGCATTAGTATAAGTATGTATGTTCATATTTCCTTGATTATGACTGGATTCTGTTATGTTATTGGGATAAAGTGATATGTCTAGGTAGCCATTAAAGTTATCTGATTTTCAGCTCCAACTCCAAGCTTGTTTTATACAAATTTTCATGATCAAGTAACAGTAAGGGTGTCATTACTTCTTACATAGACTTTAGTTTAGAGGCCATTACTATGAAACTAATGAAAGATGATATATATTATATGGTTCATATTGGCATTAGAAATACCAGAAAAGTGAGTTGATGTTGCAATAACATTGAAATGAAAATGATGCAATGACCATTGATCATTTGCATTAATCATGCGACATGCAATGACCAGTTACCAGTACCACCAGCCCCAGGCGGTGTGCAGAGCTTGGACATTGTGTTGTTCAGATTGGAATTAAGCCCTAATGATTGCCAGTGATAATGTGAATTCATCACTATTTTTAAAGCAACCTTTGCCTTTGAGTTTGAAATTAGAGGTTAAGGTATTTGAGATTAGGTTTAACTTCCTGATCTAGTAAAACATTTTGTACAATATTATAATATACGTATTTATGATAATGCTATACCTATATATTAATAATAATGCTAGTATGTGACCATGAAAGATGAAACTTCACTGAAAGGACCCTTGTTAATTTAAATCACATTTCGGACATTCTAAAGTGATTAAATTTCTACACAGAGTAAATTTTAAGATGAATTTCCAAAATTTTCACCATTACTTCTATTTTTAGTAGTAAAGAATAAGCTAGAATATACTTATGCAATTCAAACTTTACTGGCCTACTCACAGCCTCACAGGAGTGACAAGACGTGAAAAGGAAGAGTCTATAAAAGTCTGATTAGCCACTATGGACAGGAACCACCCATGAATAAGAATAATGCCCATGTTTTCTAATTAGGCTATGTTGCCTATCCATATACAACTTGCCTAATTTCCTCAGTAAAAATTAATAAAATACCATACTTTCTCCCAGAATTTTCATAAATCACCTATAAAATAATTTTTCTTATATGCAATTTTTGCAAATTTCTGTCCAATATTCCAGATTGTTTGCCAAACGTATATAAATATTGTATTGCTCTCAAGTTTCTGCATAGTGCTATGATATTAAAAAGCATTTGGATGAATTTGAGTAGGTATCAGAAGAATATCTCAAATTTTTAATCTCTCTGGAATTTATTCATTTCAATTCATATCAATAGATTTTCTTATCAACATGCAGCTGGGGATAAAAAGGATAATCTATATCCATGTTGCAAAGAATCCATGTTGCATATGGCATGGACAGTTGTAAATTAATCCTAAAAGAAAATTGAAGCCAATAATATCTTACTTAACCTAAAGTAAAAGAGACTGATGTAGCTTGGAAAAATTTCTGGCTAACTGGCTTAGGAAGTGCCCATTTGTTCTATGTTCCACTTGACTATGTTTTGTGAATTGGGGTAATATCTGAAATGGGTTTTACTCCCTATAAATAAATGCATTTTGATGTTTACCATCAACCGGGGCTACTCGGAACGATTTCGAACAGTTTTCATTCATAACTTCTTACCATGAAACATTTCATAAACAAGTTTAGGCTCATTTCAAAGCTCTTTGCAAGGGCTATCACATGGTTTCTCCAAAAAAATTCCAAATGCTATTCGTAAGGTGCCAGGAGATAAAAAGGAGTGTCCCGAGTAGCCCCATGGAACGGGGCTACTCGGGACACTTGGAATAAAACTTCATTTTAAAACATTTGAAGCATGCAGAGTGTGCTCATCCATTACTAACAGTACTCTGAAGTCCTCTTCCATTGTAGATGATGTAGAGGTAGAATAAATGACATTTTCTGTGATTATTACTTGTTTTTCCTTTATTGATATGATATTACCATAAACATTAATTATCATCAACTGGGGCAACTTTGGCTGTGTTTTTGATTTTGTTTTGCAAACAAAAACGGGGTCGTAAATGCCGGGGTCATAAACGCCAGGGTCATAAACAAGGTCATAAACGCCAAAGTGACTTTGGCCATCCTTTATGACCCCGCTTTTGTTTGCAAAACAAAATCAAAAACAGGGTGGAAGTCACCCAGCAGCCAAAGTCACCCCAGTTGACTGGTATTATTGATGTGATATTACTGTATTATTGCTTATTATTACTGTATTATTGATGTGATATTACCATATCCATGAACATGCCCTTGAGCATTTACAACAACCTTGTCCACTGCAAGCTTCATATCAGCAGCCTTATAGCATTTTTTCTGTATCTGTAAGCTTATAAGACGGCTTGTAATTTCACACCATTTTAACTGGGTTAAGTGAATTTACTATAAAAAAATATAACTCAGTACTCACTGCAGTGAGTGACAGAGAGCGCATTTTCTTGTCGACGAAAACTTGAGGTGGCGGCTGGACAGACAGATGGACATGGCGAGCACAATAGTGCATTTTTTCCATAAATGAGAAAATGCGCTAAAAAGATCATGAAAAACATACCTGAAACAGAAAGGAATGTTTTAGTGACAACCATCATATGGTTTGAAGAAATAAATCATAGTTTAGGTCAATTACTTTTCATTCTATGATGCCTGGTGCACAATTCTAAATATGACATTCTATGCACAATTTTGTGATGACCGATGATGCACTAATTTTTTGATAAGTGAACTTTTTTTCGCTCAGCAAGGTAAATGTAATCAATATTCGTTGTTTTTAATCAAATTTTTTTCTTAACCGGAGCCTTTGCTAACTGAGGTTCTACTGTAAATGCGCTTTTGGGGGTGTCCCGAATAGCCCCGGAGGGTGTCCCGAGTAGCCCCGCCGTGCGGAAATGACCGCCATTTTTTTCGAATGAGATAGGCAAAATCTATCAATTACGATTTCAAGCCGACACCTGGGTGCAACTTTTATGCAAGTAAAATTTTTTAACACGTTGGCCGCGATGTGCGCCATATATGTACACGCTGCACTTCTCAGAATCGCAATGTGTACACATGTGGTACATTCATATGAAAAATACATATTTTTATAAAATCTTATTACTCTTTCAAATTTAAAATTTCAATGATGCAATTAAATAGGCATGTTCAATATGAGCCATAGATGCATGTCTTTGCTTGGTACACATCGCCCACAGTATTAGAAGTGATTACGATAGGCAGCATGAGCCAATATGAGCCACAACAGGCATGGCTTCATTTGGTACACATCGCCAGGAATAATGACGAATTTCAACCCTGAGCGATGTGCACCAAATGCGGCCACGAATTTTACATGACACAATGACAGAAAATACCCCTGCAGAGCTGCACACAACTTTTCTCCTTGCTATCTGCCGGGTAACTGAAGATATACAAGTTTGAACCTATCGCCCGTACGGCATTCGGGCCAAATCAGCAATCGCGGCCAACGTGTTAATACGGTGAATATTTTTTTTACTACAGACCTTAGCAGAATTAACTTTCCAAAATATTGTTTTTCACCATTTTTTCAGGAATTTTTCAAAGCTAGTGATAGTATTTTGGAACTTCCTTTATACTACATAGATAGGAAAAATGTTGACATTTATGCCACTATATTTAGTTTTGCAATATTCCAATTAGTTTTGCTACTAAAACAGTTATACGCCATGTTGGAGGACTGTCCCGAGTTACCCCACCCATCCCGAGTAGCCCCGGTTGACGGTATTGGTAACTTGATTGTTTTGGACATGGTCATTGAAATGTCTTGAAATTCAAACTTTGACTAAATAAAGTACTGTACAGCACTTATGTTGATTTGTTGGTCAGAAGCATTTAAGAGCTTAGCAAGTCAAATTCTTTGCAATCACCAATCAGTTGGGGAATTATCTTGGTGTTAAATTTGGTTGAGGCAAGCACAGGGTGCATACCGGTCATGGAAAACCTGGAAAGTCATGGAATTTAATTTTTCATTTCCAGGCCTGGAAAGTCATTGGATTTTGCTTCAGGTCATGGAACAAAAGGAAAGTCATGGAACAAAAGGCATTTTGATTTCCCACAATAAAGTTGATGTTGATGTTGGTTACATGGCCAGTACCAGGATAAAAAAACAGCTTGAAGACAACAAGGCAAGTGCACTGCAAGTTCTCACTTTCAAGATACGAGCACAGGACGTCATGCAGGATGTAGTCCAAAAGCTACTGGACAAGAGCCCTCTCAGGTATGGACTTGTTAGGAACCTGAGATGGCTGGTGCCAAAAGTCTTCATCAAGAAGGACTGTAAGGAAGCTGACAAGACACAGTTGAAGAACTGTCTCACTTTGCTTGTTTATGCCAAAAGATTCCCTAATGCAGATATGAATGATGTTGTGCAGTCTTAAGAGATGAATCAAAACATTGCAGTGAACTGAACACACAGTTTTAGCATTTTCAACTTCTGATTGACTGGACACTTTTTGGCATGCCATTCTGTCAAAGAGCACCTACTAGAAGCTCTGGAATGTAGTGCAGTTGCTCATGCTCCTGTCTCATGGCTACACCACGGATGAAAGAAGGTTCTTGTTCAACAAGGAAATCATGACACAACATGAAAGAGCAAACTGTGGTTGCCCTGTGTGCTGTGGTTGATCATATTGCACATGTTGGTGGCCTGGACAAGATGACCATCACCAAGAAGATGCTGCTTGCAGCTGGCTGTACAAAAACAGCCAACAATACTTCTTTGGCAGAAAAGAAAGAGCAGAATGCAAAGGCCCAGAAATTCCCCTCAGGGGGGACTTTTGATGCTTTTCTGTGCTTGTCAGAAGTCCTATGGGAATTCGCGCTCCTAGGGGGATTGTTCCTGAGTGCCCTATCGCTGAGCTCACGGTGTCTGACTGTAGGTGACAGTTGTAGGGTTAAGTTATTATTTAGGTAGGATTCCTTGCATTTCCTTTCTCTGTCTCATGCAGGCGGCTGGCGTCCTGTGTAAGTAAATTCTTGTTCGAGTGTCTGTTTCTGTTGCTTTTCACTTGTCCCTCCTTGTCACTTTGTCTCTTGATGCTAACACTGCTTCTTTCGAGCCAGCTTCAGCGGGCTGGACAATTGAAACCTTCCACCTCTTTGGTGATGTTCATCTTGACTTTTGGTGCAAGATAGCTAAATAGCTGAAGCTCTAGTAACATTTGGCCACTAAACTAAACTAACAAGAAGGCCCAGAAAACCCAGAAGAGGAAGGCTATGTTGGATGAGCTAGATAACTGAATAAGAAAAGGCATACAGAGAAGGGCATCAAGGTGCTTGAGCAAGCAGCACATGAATATGCAGTAGCAATGGAGAGAAAGGGAGATTTGAAAATTATTGTGAAGTTGGTTGCCATGTGGTGATCTTTGAAAACGAAGCTAGACACTCGTGAACTGAACATTAAAGAAAAAGTTGATGAAATAGCTGCCAGTTGAAGGTTAGGGTAGTGGTGTTGAAGAGTCTTCTGAACTGTATTGACATTATCATATACAACCTTGTGTGCATTACTCAATATTTGTTGTGATTCAACACTATTGAATTCATAATAATACCAGTGTTGGCTTGATTTTCAGATATGTGTCATTTTTGTTCTTCTGTGTCTGCCTGCCCTATGCATTTACACATTTGCCATTTATCAACTGTAGGAGATGATAGAAGATGCATGGTTAGTCTTTCAGTCATGCTAAACCTGTCATATATGAGTCTTGGAAAATTATATTGATGGTCATGGAGAGTCATGGGAAAAGTCATGGAATTTTTTTCCAAATACCAGTACGTACCCTTCGAGCAATCCTTATTAGCGGTCTGTGACAAATACATTGCATCAGCTGCTGTCTCTGTAGACCAGTCATTGAGGCCCTTGTGGTGGTGCTCATTCTGACCCAATTGGACTATGGCAATGCCACAATTTATGGACTTCTGGCACTTAATAAACTGCAATCTGTAATGAATGCTGCTGCTTGACTTGTGTGCAATAAGCAAAGATTTGACCTTGTGATGCAGATATTGTGCAATCTTCACTGGCTTTGCATGCAGCAACACAATCTGTTCAAGGTCATTGTTCTGATGTACCAATCCATCATGGTGTGGTGCCTTCTTATCTAATGGAACATTGGCAGCACTTGTAGGATTTGCCTTCTAGAAGACAATTACATTCGTCATCAATGGCAAAGATTGTTTTTCCATCTACACATCTATTTACCGTTGGCAACAGAAAGTTCCCAGCTGGCCGCCGCCAGACACTGGAACTATCTGTTGGCTTCCGTAACATTGGCTCCTTTGTTGCAGGTGTTTCATCAATGCTTAAATTGGAAAATATTTAGTAGAGCATATGAATCAAGTGCTTAGTCATTTCTGTCCTTTTTTGTGTCTATTTATTTTTTTCTTGCTATTAATCTTTTGTATAACATAACCTTGAAGTTTGTTCAAACCAAATGCCGCAATAACTGCTCTGCAGAATAATAATTACCTCTCCTCACCATGCCTCCTCTTTTTTCTCACCTCATTCCTGCCATCCTTTGCTCTCTCTTCCCTTCACCTACCCTCCTTGCTCTCTCTTCTCTTCTCCTGCCATCCTTTGCTCTCTCTTCCCTTCTCCTACCCTCCTTTGCTCTCTATTCCTTTCTTCTGCCATCCTTTGCTCTCTCTTCCCTTCTCCTGCCCTCCTTTGCTCTCTTCCCTTCTCCTGCCCTCATTTGCTCTCTTCCCTTCTCCTGCCATCCTTTGCTCTCTCTTCCCTTCTCCTGCCCTCCTTTGCTCTCTCTTCCCTTCTCCTGCCCTCCTTTGCTCTCTCTTCCCTTCTCCTGCCCTCCTTTGCTCTCTTCCCTTCTCCTGCCCTCCTTTGCTCTCTCTTCCTTTCTCCTGCCCTCCTTTGCTCTCTCTTCCTTTCTTCTGCCCTCCTTTGCCTGTCTCTTATACACATCT